CCAGGTAATTAATGACTCTTTAATAGCCTATGGTGAGGCTTAATAAAATATAGGACATAAAAACAAAGTAAAGATAATACGTACATAGAAAAAACAAAATATTCTTGGACATTTTTCCGAGTTTTACCACAGTCAGCAGAGTTCGTTTCGTTTTTCTTCGAAGATTTAGGTCTTGTAATCTTAGTGGAATTTGTATGTCAAGAGCGTCAATTTACACATACACATAAAGACACAATTGAAGGACCCTGGCGATTGAAATAAAATGAAATTACCCCAAATTACTTCTGAAAAACTTACCTTTACAGCATAAATCGTCCTTTTCTCGTATGACGTGCCGAACTCTTCCACTAAACTTGCCAAATTTGGATGAGAAGAAACAAGGCTCCTGAGTTCATCTACCATCTACAAAATTTAAACATAACTATTAAAAATCTATTCATCGTGACGAAAATTAATTTGGAGTTTAACAACCGGCTTAGTTGTCATAGAAGAGAAAAGTTTGAAAAATAATATCAAAGTCCGCCATGCAGATTTAAACTCCTATTTGAGGTGAAATGCGCTCCTAACTGAATCACAGAGAATTTGCGAGTTAGGACATAGGTAAATATTTTTTCAAGCCCAAGTCCTCCCCGGAAATAAGCGAACGAAGAGGTATCCTGCGGAAATATCATCGCTGAATTCCCCTTTATCCATTTTTTTATTCACTTGAAATGTTCCGATCGTCGTGCATACTTCCACTGCTGTCCTGTCCTGAAGACAGAGTGAGCGGTATGATACATTTTGAGCTTGGTTATCCAATAGTGAAGATTTTGAGAGCTACTGACCATAAATATCAAGAACCCGCAGACGGTTGCAAGATTTCATACTTCATTTTATTTTTTCTAGTGAACCTTTTTGATAAGCTTTTCCCAAAAATTATACCAAAAGGTGACAATTGGCCTGCATACCACTAAGATTGGGCATGTTTTGCAAATGTAAGTGATCTGACCTCACCGGAGTTAGCCTATTGTAACGACCATAGTCGTATGCTCTTGCTGATCGGGCTGGAGGCGGGTTCTCACTTTCCAACAAGTCTTGCACATCCGGGATAAGAATGGTAAATATGATCCCATTAGACTCCAGTAGCTTAGCGAGACGAGGGTACTGCAAAGCACTCACACGAATATCAACAGCTGCACCTACGTGGGAGGGGTGAGTCCAAAAATCTACTTCGAACTAAATAGGCACAAAATAAAAACGTAAGTTACACTTAGTGAGATTGTAAATAAAGGGTTATACTCTTCTATTTTTAGAGGCGCTAATTTTTTCGCTCTCACAGCTAATCGTCTCTCTCTCACACCCACTTCATTAGCCTTAAAAAAAAAAAGGAAAGAAAGAGAGAGAAATAAGAGAATGCTATTTATTTTCCACACTGTTGTCACTTTTCTTAGCCTTATTCTCGTTCTGTCATTCTGTCATTCTGTCACGCTGTCACTCGGTCACTCTGTCACTCTGTCATCTGTCACTCTATCATTCTGTCATTCTATCATTCTGTCATTCTGTCACTCTATCATTCTGTCATTCTATCATTCTGTCATTCTGTCATTCTATCATTCTGTCATTCTGTCATTCTGTCATTCTATCATTCTATCATTCTATCATTCTATCAATCTATCATTCTATCATTCTATCATTCTATCATTCTATCATTCTATCATTCTATCATTCTATCATTCTATCATTCTATCATTCTATCATTCTATCACTCTATCATTCTATCATTCTGTCATTCTATCATTCTGTCATTCTATCATTCTGTCATTCCGTCAGTCTATCATTCTGTCATTCTATCATTCTGTCATTCTGTCAATCTATCATTCTGTCGTTCTGTCATTCTGTCATTCTCCCATTCTGTCATTCTCATTCGGCTATTCTTATGGCACTGCTTTCGTCCTTGATTAAATCACTGCCCTTTTTTTTTCACGAAAAGAAAACATTTGTGCGATAAACCGGTGAAATCAACGTAGTCATTCTTCTCACACAGTGATTAGATGTCCTCTTATTGACTTTTTACTCACATTGCCGGACTCTTCAAGATTCGCAAGAAGCTTTAGCTGGGCTTCATTTGCGGGAGTAGCTCGAATAACACGACACCTAGAATGAAAATGAACACGAAAGATCATTTTACGAGAAATCATCAAAAGAGACTATAGTTAAAGAAATGTTGTTTGGAATTTAATCTGTTCTCGAATTCCTCATAGTACTCATTAATTTTTCCTAGAGAAATTAATCACAATGCCTTGGGCAAAATATCTAAAGCACACAAAGTGTTTCCAAAGAAAATCGAACATAAGAATTTAAGTACGCACACCCTCTATGGTCCATGGGCGTGTTGAAATAAGAAGAACTATTGTTGAAGCAACAGTCAAAATTTGTATCGCCTCTTATTTTGAGAAATAGTTCACCAAGGGAATTGGGGAGTATTCCGTGTTTATATAACGTCATCTGAATACTCTGATGCTCAGGAGAACTCGAGAAAGTAGAATAACTTTCAGTGATTCTCTAAATCCACCTTGCGTTTAGATGAAGTTATGTGAAGACGGTAATTGCTCTCTGTTGCTTACGTAATGACTAGCACAGAAATTTATCCCACGGTTTTGCAGCATTATAAACACGATCGCTGATGCGAATAATAATTTAAAAGCTGTAGCTAAGATTTGTTATGCTGATCCAGAGGCACATTTTCCGGAACGGGTCTTGATTGCAAGCGTATGTTATTCTCGTCCAAGGGAGGGAGGGCCTGGAAATCACTCGACGCTTCATGGAGACTGGGACCAGCTCACTCTGTGTAAACACTTGACACAGCGGTCTGACTGCACATACAATTCGCCATCGTTAAGTTTATGAATTCATTTTTCTTATTCAATCGCATACTTAAAGCAATTTCTGAAAATCTTGTCGGTAGAAAACTTGAGTGATTTAAAGTACCTTTACATATTCAAAATTAGTGTGTGTTCGCGTAAGTTTAGTCTCAAGGAAAAACTAGCTAATCTTTCAGCAAATAATTCAAATTTAATTCACCATTTCTCCGAAAAGCCGACTGGGGGAGCAGAGGAAGGGGTTAAAATTTTGGCTTTCGAAAAATCGTGTGATTTCACAGCTCTTAATTTGAGCAACGTATCGACATACAAAATGTAACACAATAGAACTTTAGATAAAGTAACAAAACTGTAACATACCTACAGTAATCAGATTTTTACCAGATAACAGAAGCACTTCCCGTTTTCAATTTTTTAAGCCACTACTTAAAGACACATACTGCATCTTGGATATCTATCTTAAATTTCTTTGCCACTCACCCTTTAAAATTTGCTCGTTCCTCGCAAAGACATTTCCCAAAAACACAAAACAGAAAAATAAAAACCAAATTGCACTGCATTTTGGAGACAGCTTTAAAACGCAACCACCTCCAAGAAAACTGGTCAAAGTGTGCCGATTTCTTTTCCCTGAATAGAGATCACTCGAAATGAAGCTTTTAAAGCCCCTGTCAATCGAGGACAGCTGAGGTAAACAAGCAGAAGAATTGGTTTTTTATTTCTTTTGTTTTTCAAGTCGCCTTAGGCTTTGCAGGAGTACATGTTTAATAGAGTCGGACAAAATTTTGAAAATGAACTTTGTTTTGAGTGACCATGAATCAAAGGTTGTTTGTGCAAAAGGCTTCGATTTTGCGCTTTTGCAACCAGCTCGACTGGTTTTATTTGGGTAGCTGCTCCAGCGAAGCCCGCACTTTTTAAAGATGTTTTAAGTCATCAGTTTCCTTCCGCAGATATTTATTTTTCAAAAATTTCCAAAGATCTATAACAAATATCTGTTAAATATGTATGCTGTAAATGATCAAAAATCATTTTCAAAAACTGCTTTACAAAATCTATAATTGAAGAAATCTGTATGCTTAAGAAGGCTCCTTTTTGACCACAAGAGCGGTTGCTAAGGAAAAATTCGGCGAGCAAGTTGTCAGCGGTATTTCTTGCAAATACTGCCGCTTGCCGACCAGCATCCAGATGGTAGAAAATATGAACAATCTACCTGATCGAAAAGCTAATCAAAAGTGGCTCAAAATTGCCTTTACATTCTGCGTGTGTCTTTTTTTTTTTTTTTTTTTTTTAACGGCGTTTTTCTGCTTCGTTTGCGTTGTTCAAGCGATGATCGAAAGGGGGTGCGAAGAGCGTGCGACACCGTTCTCTGTGACTCGGTGGTAACGCGTCGGAATGTAAAAGGCGAAGGCGAATGTTTCATTTTCCATAGGGGCTCAGGTTCTCCAATAAATGCCTTCAAAAACCTGTTTCATGAAATGAAACTAATAATGCTCATCATCGGTTTTAGACGCCTTGTAGACCTCTCGCTGACTCGCGTTCCTTAAGGCCACTTCCTTTCCGCGTACGAAGAAACGCGCGTTCTGAAGCGCTGATAATGAGTACCTGCCCGCAGCCAAGTTTGACTGGTTGCGCATGGAATAATGATACGTACGTGACGCCCACGCATGCACACGATGTTAAAATGAGCCAACCCGTGCGTGGTGACCTCACTACGCGGTGAAGCGTATCAGTTTCATTTAAGTCAATACCCCATTGTAAATACCTGGTTATAAACTTATTACACGTCAGATGTACTAATACGCTCTTCCATTTTCAGTGGACGACCAAGAAACTGAGCGATGAACAATAAAATTCCTTCAGCTTTTTGCCAAATCCTCGCCGTATTGGCGATTACAGTTTGTATACAGTCCATCGAGGCGAGACAACAGACATACCACAGGTGAGTTTCTCGAAGAAAAACATCTCTCACGTAGACCTTTTTCCGGTCGATCATATTGCTTGCGATACCTATAATTTTAAACATTCCAACGCGAAAAATCTATATAATCACTTCTAGGTATGTGTATTATCTCAAAAGTAAGAGTTGGAGATTTCGAATCGAGCGGAATGATCGCTATTGTCTGAGATAATACTTCGTCTCAAATATTGAAACGATATTCAATAACCTCTTCCTCACATGCATCAAATTGGCCCCCTAAGGCACGACATTTATGGACTTAAATCTCTAACTCAATACTCTAAGAATAATGTTTTATGCCGCCTGATAAGCAAACCGAAGTGTCGTTCATATCTAAATCCCTAGTTTCAGTCTGTTATGAAGGCCCCTGTAAGCGATGCACTAGCTCTCAGAGATCTGTCATCAGCTTATAAGCCTATAAGCGATTACTCAGTGACATGTTTCAATAGGCCTTACGCATGTTTGCTACGATTTTTTACCCTCAAGCCTGACTTTCAAGGTGGAAACTGCTATTCTTAATAGGAAAACATTCCCTATACACGGACATCAAAAGAATTCCTATACTAAAACAGATAACTGGCAAAAATTCACAAAACTTTAAGCGCAACCGGGGCTTAGGGTGAATTTTCCTTAAAATACGTCATCGAGCAGAAGAGCTACTTTCTTCAAATCTGAATCTTAGACTTTTCACTTTTTATGGCCCCCACCGATGATATGTTCAGAACTATTGCAAGTTTGAGACTGTAGCAAAGTATGCGGTACATTTTGTTAACATTCTAAACCATTACGACCTTTGAAATCACTTCGAACGTGGGAATGCTGATTGACGCTTTTCGTAAAACATCAAGATTTTAAATAAGTAAAATACAATTAAAATTTACAGTATTATTGAATACCACAACTTACACTTTACTACATAAAAGCTAAATTTGGGAGGGATCGTCGGGGTTAAGTGAATCCGTACGTAAGTGCTCCTCGCGTGTACTCATCGTCACGCAATCCTCATCACCAATTATTTGCCACGCTTTGTAGGATTACAGTTTACTCACTTATCATGCATGTCCTACTAAACTGAACTGAAACAGACAGAGAAGACTGTGCGTGTGCACACGTGCGTGGAGTCGTCATGTCTTCGCGCGGTCTGTGTGGCGAACTCCACATAAATTCTAGTCACGTTTAGGCTTTCAGTCTTATCTCTGTGGTTATACAGCTGTTTCTGTTTCATAGCTTGATATCAGAAAAGTCACGTTTTCTCTATCAAAACCACAATTTATTTTCCTATTGTTTTCTATCATTCATTTTAACCATTTTTTATCTTTTTTATAAATGTTATTCTGAGAATGTGGTCTTTCATCAAAATTAATACTAAATTTTTAACTCGTGAATTGCGCGCATGCGCAAGAGCGAGTTGTAGATATGATGTGGAGAATGGCACTCGCTCGCTCGCTCGATTGGTCGATTCCTGTAAACTTTTTTTCGATCTTAGGCTTTTGAGAGCATTTGATAGTTTTTGGCGAGTAATAAACAGACGAAATGGCGACCTTTGTTGCTAAGAATATCGGTGGGGTGAAAAAGAAGCCAATGATAATCTTAAAAGAGTTTATTTTTTTCATTATGGTTTCAACAAGTGGGGCCAGCGACTGGCAGGCGTGCAAGGATTCAGACTGAAATAAGAGATCAACCTTCGTTTTTCATAAAATTGTAATTTACAGTCCTTGAACTTGATAACAATCCGAAGATTCATTAAAATATCACTTACTCCGAAGCGTTCGGAGTTTACAGGTGTTCAAAAGCTTTTTCTGTCATGGGGTGAGATTGGGGACAAAATCGATCATTACATTTCGTATCGTGTGTTTATTCTGTGTGAAGCAACAGAAGGTGTCGGCGACTGACGAAATTACAGGTTAACACGAAAATCAAATAACACCTAAACAAATAATTTGGCGACCGATTTTCAGTGAATTTTTTAAGAACAATTTTCTTTTAAGTTTCAAGACAGTTTGAAGATTCAAAATAAATATTACGTACTAAAATGCGAAAGTTATACACCACAAAATTGATAAATAGGCCTGAAAGGAAATTCTATCTTGTTCTTGATTACAAGTTGCCTAGCACGTGACCAAAATCTACCCTGGCGGAAATCCAAAATGACGGTGGCAGTCTGGGCTTAGCTATATCACTCAAAACTCGCTCCCGTTTGTCTCATTTGATAAAGAGGGAATCATTAATGTTTTTATTAAGACAGTATGGCCTTGATTTTCCAATATCTACAATCATAGACAGTAAATTTTACTTTTCACCCACATCTTATTCCAAACTTTTCTTTTGAACCAGAAACAAAAATGATATATGTTTAAATCACATGACATCATCTACCCTTGTCAAATGTAATAGCATGATCATTTCAATTGTAATGCTTTCATATCCCAACGTTACTTTGTTTCTTTGCTGCGAACACTGAACTACCGCTCACACTCTAAATATGACAATCAACCGCAAAATTCCCTAAACCAGATAACATTACTGAACATAATCCAAAAAATCATGTAGGTCATCTGTCAATTCATGAGTTTGCTCACAAAGTATTTCCTTTACTTACCATTAATTCATTTGTCTCATTCTTGGATTTACTTATGTACTTCTTTTTTTTTTCTTTTTTTTTTGCACTGATCCTCTGGGGAGTAAAAAGAGGTTCGATCGAGGTCAATATCTCTGTCTTTCTTTTTTTTTTCTTTCTTATTTTTGAATATTATCCAGACTTATTTGTATTGCGTTTCTTTCCTTTATAGAGACCAAGTTTTGCAGGTCACTCCTAGAACAGAAAAGGACATAAAATTTCTGAATAGTTTGCTGCACAGCGAAAACAACCTCACGGTGATTTTACAAAATTTTACTTGCTAGCGGATTAAAAAGGGAAACTTTTTTTCTTTGAGGAAATTGAAATTCCCATGTGCAACAGATGTTTCCTCATTGTTTGACGGAGTTCACCCCAATAATAGAATTTATCTACTGAGCTGGGAAGCTGCAAGGTAGTAACAATCCGTCAAATATTTTCGCTTTTGCCAGTTGTGACTTGGGAATATCAGGTGGTATTCCTTGATCGATATTTACCAATTTGGAACCTTACGTCCAGTACGATAAAAGTTTTCCGCTCAAAGGCGTTTCAATATTTTAAGAGCTTCGCTGTTGTCACTGAGGAAGGGACATTCATGTTTATTCATAAAGAGAAGGGACAGCTGAGGAATGAAAATTCCACGCAATTCATGTTTTTTTATGTATGCTGTTTGTCAATGTACTACCGCATGAATAGTTACCAAATTAGCATCAATAGCATTGGTATGGCTTGAAAAACAAAACGAAGCAGAACAAGGCAAATAAAAAACAACAACAACAACAACAACAACAAAAAAACAGTTCATGCAACGACGTCAATGAAACGCGTGTACGGTCACATGACAGTGGAATTCACTGTAAAATGTACATATCTCAGAGAAGCTGTTTTCTATTTTGCAGTTAGACTTTTGGACCTACCCAAGCAAGCCTAGTGACCCTGTAGACATCCATGTGCCTCGCAGAAAACTCCGGGAATTCAAACATATTCTAGCCAAACGATCAATCCCCTTCACGGTGAAGATCAGAAACGTGCAAAGGCAGATCAAAGTGGAAGGAATGAGGCCCCGTTCTGTTTCATTCAATGGAGCATTTCGTTCATACGCTCAGGTGAGTTTGTCAATGATGTGAAATGATTTTAACGATCACCAATTTAAGAATTTTCCTTATTGGCAAACAAATTCTCTTTGTATACACGTTTTAACAATGATTCAAAATTATTCATTAATTATCCCCTTTTATCCCCTTTTATCCCCTTTGCCTTCATTAATCATCCCCTTTTGGGTTGAAGATCTGGAGTCGAAAGTTATTCCCTGTAAATACATACAGACGATTTGTTCTCTTTTCATAGATTGTTCATGAAATGAAACGACTCGCACGCTTGAATGAAAGCTTAGTGAAAGTATTTAGTCTGGGCAAGACCTATGAGAACCGAACAATGTATGGGATAAAGGTAAGTGACAAAACTGACAAAATTAATTGTATGGCAAATGTCACTGGTTACGTGTAGTTTTGGGACAATGGTAACCGGAACGTAGCGTAAAAAGATATTTCATTAGCGGAACAATAGCTCGACACATATGTTTTACATTGCTCTTCAAAACAGCAGTGTCTAATTATGGTTACTTAATGTTTTTCTATTCTAAGAACGGGAGACCAGAATTAAATTTTCATGTTCCATTCTGAACTGAATGCCGCCTCTACATCAACTTGGGGAAGATAGACAGCGCCCATTGGTTCCTTGTGATATTTCCCTTTACTCTGATAGGCCACTGTGATTACATTGGTTGTGCTTATTCGACGCTCAATTAAAATGAGCCCTTTAAGAATCTTACAAACTTATATAACCTAATGGGGATAATTGCTAATCAGATCTTAAAGGAGGCGAAGAGAAGATTGATATACTTCCTTCTAAATTACCGGTAGGCTCATCCTTTATCTTCGGTTCGTAGATTTCATCAAACGTTTCCAGCTCAAATAAACCAGTTGTCTTCATAAATTGTGGAATACATGCGCGAGAATGGATTTCTGTTTCATCGTGCATGTATGTCGCCAGAGAGGTGAGACAAATCATGGAATTTTCTTTATGTTTTAAAAACCGCTGTTTCATGAATCACGATAATCATGATTAATTAATTGTTTTCTCGATAATGCTTCTTGAAGCCGTTTTTCGTTTTCATCATGCAACAGCTAATAAGGAAATTGTTGTAGCATGTGGTACAATATCCCATTCATCACGAGTCAATTTGTGCTCTCTTTCCAAAGCAAGAAGTTACCATAGTAATATCACATCCCTCTGGAACCCACAACCGCAGGTTAACCTTCACGTGCCTGTGATGATAAATCGATTGCGACTTCCTTTTTTAGAATAAACAGCGTGGCATAAAAAATAATGAACCCAAAGAGATGGTGAAATTTGGAGAGGATTAGAAAGGAGAGAGAGACTCTAAATGTCTTTGTTTTCAGCTCGTCTTGAAGTATTCGTCAGAGGAATCAATCCGGCTCTTAGTAGATAGGTTAGAATGGATCATAGTGCCAGTTGTGAATGTGGATGGATATATTTACACTCACAAAGAGGTAAGTCATGCTTACTGTGTACAGATGAACTCAGGTTAACCCGTAGTTACATATCATTACACATATTTAGAGACAAAGCAATATTTTTCTCTCGTATACAGCTATGACGAACTCTCGTTAGTAGGGATGCTAAATCTCCCCCTGAGGATGTCCGCAATAACGGCAGTCGACTGTATTCATCTGGAAAGGACTGTGCGGCGATTTAACTCGTAAATCACATATTTAAAGTTATGGTTTCTGTGTTTCGTTACAGGATCGCTTGTGGAGAAAGAACAGAAGACCAAATGGCAACTCAACCAAATGCATTGGAACGGACTTAAACAGGAATTTCAATTTTAGATGGGCTAGTGAGTACTTCAGACCTTGTGTTTCAGTTCTGTTCAATAGAGGTCAATGTTCTTCGTTTGGCTCAAGTTAGAAATTTACCTGCGCTATATTTAGGTTGGAAGATTATCCTCTTTGCCTTCGGTGTTGGTTGCACAGTGACGTAGATGTGTTTCAGCTTTCCTTTCACAAAAGTCAATTTTTTTTCCTCTGGAGAAAAAACATGATAAAAAAAAACATACCTACTCGCTTCAAGCTGCGGCAACTTCGATGAGCGCAGTATCGGGTAATGACAGCCACAGTCTTTACTTTTTCTCATAACTTGCAGAAAGGAGTTGTCCCTAAGTCTTTTATTACATTTAACAAAAAGGCTTCATGTTGCCATGTGTATGTTTGGTAATAGATCACAGACGGCATCAAAACGTGGTGAGAAAAAACAAGAGGCACAAGAGGTGCCACCGTGTAATAAATTTTTAAGTAAATTAATATTAATTATTTTTAATAAATTAAATTTTTTTTTCTTGCTCATATAATCACCAGCGGTTGGAGCAGATTATGGAAAGCCTTGCAGCGACATCTACCCTGGAGAGCGGCCATTTTCCGAACCCGAAACACACAACTTAGCCACGTATATGTACTCCATAAGAGACCGCATCAAAGCTTATGTGGACTTCCATTCCTATGGACAATTGTGGATGTCTCCTTGGGGTTTCAAAAAGGATTTCCCTCCAACGTATCGTACCATGAACGTAAGTTTACAATATACTAAGGCCAACCCAATAAAAAGGCTTGTCTACTATCGCCTGCCCAACCCAAAAATTAAGATTATACGGCTTTCTAACAAGCCAAATATAAATTCAAACTAAGTTCATCCTCTCGATTTAAAATAGATGTGATCAGACCTTATGATTCAGGTGGCGAAACGGCGTGAATCTAAAGAGGCTACGCGGCACGTGGCGATGCAGAAGGATGTAACACTCTTTTTGACCCCCTCTCTCCCGCCCCTCGTTCCTCTTTAAAACATTCTAGTTTAGTACTGGGAATTCTGTACAAGTTCAAACTAGTTGTTCATGAATATGTTGTCTTCGTTTTTCTATTCAGCGGAACGCAATGATACGCATTGTACTAGCTATATACATGACCAACAGGACACTCTATGGGTTTGGACCGGCAGCTGTTGTCATCTGTAAGTATTCATTTGCACATATCCTTCATCCTTAGATTCGAAATGACTGGTTCCGAAAGAAACAGTTCATTTTGTCCACAAAAAAAAAAAAAATCAACCGGCCGCAGTTACGTTCTTATCGTGTGTATTGACGGTCAACAATCGACATTCCTTGGTAAGAGTGCAATTTTACCCTCTGACGTCATGGATTTTGCGATGCTGCCCACTCGGAGACTTTTAGCGGGAATAATTTTCAGTGCAATATGTCATGTGATAACACTTTACGTCGATCATATCTAAGATTACGCGTAGACCGTAGCCACTGTATTTTTCGCGTATCCTTTACCACCTAACACCAGTATCCAGATTCTCCATACTACTCACTACACATTTCCCAAGGTGTTAACAAAGAGAATTTGTTTGATAATCAGGAGCTCCTTTCGTTGATTATCATTTCCTCTGTTCTCATTACCTTAATGTTTGATTTAAGGCTGATATTGTAGGGAGAAATTAGATGCTGGTCATTCTTAGGGGTTAAGGGTTAAGTACCTTTACATGCGTGCTGGATGTAGATGTAGACACCTTTAGCAGTTATCCGATATCTTATCTGCCATTTTTTTATTTTTGAAATAAGTTATATATGGTTATGATATTTTTTTTATTAACAGATAAGACTTCAGGTGATGCAACCGACTGGGTGTACGCTGTTTTGGGTGTCACGCATTCCTATGGAGTTGAGTTGCAACCATCAATCTTTTCTCAGAATGGATTCGTTCTTCCCCCTTCATACATTGAACCTGTTGGGAAGGAGGTGCTCGCTGGAATGAAGACCTTGGCTTCCCTTGTAAGATAGAAAACATGGCGAAGAGACCAATAACTATTCTAAAAAATATTATTCATATTCAGGGAGTATAAATAACAAGCAAAACTATATTGGTAAAAAATTTATTAATAATGGAAAATAACGCTACAACTATTATCAACATTTTAGTCTTTGTTTTTGTGTGAGGAAGCGTTTTTCCCGGTTGGACAGTGTTGCAAATTCATCTCTTTTGCTAAACTCTACAAGATCGTGATTTCAGTCCCAAAAACAAACCCAAAAACATCGCAACTTCTTATAGTGAAATCGCAGGGATTTGATGGGAACTCAAAATAATTACCTATTTCTCCCGTCAAGTACCGTAAAACGCTGTGCAATCGGTGGAACGCCGTAAAACGCGATAAATCGCGGTAAAACACAATGAAACACGGTAGAACGCGTCAAGTTGTAGCCTAGTTTCGATTGGTCAGTTTAAGTTTTGCGTCTGATTGGTCAGTGAAAAGCTGGCACGAGTTTCCTGAACCAATCGTGAAGCGAAGACAGGTAAAACTCATGCTATAGCGAAATAATGTTAGGGTTGCTAACTTCAAGTTGCGTATAAGGCTTCAGAAAATTATTTACAACACGCGGAGATATATCTGAAAATTTTTTCCCATACTATTTTTACGCAGCACTCGTAAAAGTGTGGTCGTCTCGATCGACAAATAATTTGATTTTTCGAAATAAAGACATAATTTTGAATCACCTAGTTGCATTTTCGCGACTGAAACAGTAAATGGCTGACAGATATTACCATAAAAATTTCCCTAGCTTAGGGCTGATGTAGATCGCCAGTGCAACAAAAATACTTTGGTTTTAATTTACTGCCACCGACTTAAAGAGGAGTCTGTTTCAGCGCAAACAAAGAATTAACATATAAAGACATTGCTGAGTATGTAAAGCCGAGAAGCCGGTTTTAAACATTCCTTATCATCATTCTGTATTTTCCCATCAAAAAAGGAAATTAAAGAAAAAGTTCCCAAGCGCGCCTATTCTGTTCAAATGAGGAGTGAATAATTGTCGTACAGAAAAACGGGGTTTTTCGTTGTTCATCTGTTCAAAGTCCTTCCAACATTGATTGTTCTTCGTGAAATGTTTGCGGCCAATCCTAAACTGTCATATTTTTAAAACGCTTTTTATTTCTTGTATGTTTTTTGCGACAAACTATTTCACGCAAATTTCTACGTATGTGTAATCAGTCGTGGAGAAAGCTTTTTTCTAATGGGTTTGTCGGGCTATTTGTTGGATTTTGCATTTAAACAGTACTTAACAAAAAAAACACAATCCATTGCCTTCGCTTATTCAGTTGATTGGTAACTCAACTGAGGCAACAAAGCTGTCTCAATAGTGTTTGGAGTCGTAATTACTAAATTGCGATTCTCCTGTAAGATCTTGAAGGGAATAGTACATGTGCATAGATATTTAATAAATAAAATTTTAAAAAATCTTCCCTTTGTTTAAATTTTTACCCATACTCTACAGGATAATTATTTTTTGTTTTGTAGTTGTGAAGTTGATAAGCACAGCAAAACTACCTCCCTACCCACCCCTCGATTGTTTGGCCGTGAGAATAATGGTATAAAGTCTGTTTACGTGTTTGTTTTAAGCGCGGGGCGCATGGTGACTTTGAGAGCACTTAACACTCTGAGAAGTTATTACAGATATTTCCAGGTCAACATGCGAGGTGCCCGAGAATTCGCTCTCGTTCTTCTATTCGCTTTTGTTTTCAGCGAGCCTGATTCATTTGAAGGGTAAGTAATCTCAGAGATATTTTTCTACAACAAACTTTATACTCATCTTGATTTTCAACTAGGAATGTTTTAAACTTCTAGATCAAATCGGTGTTGACTATTTAAATTTATAGTTCTCGTATCGAACACAGTTTCGCTGCGCGTCATAGAGCCACCCTCCCTTAACGAATCGCAGCCAGTAAATAAGTTACAATAGTTACCGTTCGTTGTACTTTTTAACACTTCTAATCTCGCGATATTTCCTTTTGCCTTTAGATGTGTTTTCAATCAAAACTTTCTTTTTCGTAGTGACACTGCCCACTGTACAATAACTGTCGAATAACGTCCTCTTCGGTTGAAAATTGAAATTGAAATTTGCGTCAAGATGTCCTTTGCGTCAATACTCGTTAGACAAAGAGTTTGTCTGTCTGTTACGAACTGATTTATTACATTAACAAAAGTCTCAATTTATTGCAATAAACATGAGGCAAATAAAGAAATTTGCCCGGAGGCCAACGTCCCATTGCAGCAACTACACATATCAACTGGAAATTAAAAAGATTGAATTGAAATAGAGTTATATCAGACTCCGCAAAACCCTCCTTAACCTTTCTTGGAAAGATTGGGAAAAATATCCTAAAACAATTTAACACTACGGTAGTGAACTTTTTGTTGTTTTCTTTTCTTCATGAACTAAAGGCCTGAATTAGATTACAGTGCTCGCCCTTTTTTGAATTTTAAGGGATCTTTTGCTGCAACCATCTGAAAGCTAAGTCAATAAACAGTGCGAAATATCCCCCAAAGACGACAGTACATTTAAAAATCTCCATTTTCTTTTTCTTTTGAAATTCTTGCAAAACTTTCAATACCTAAGATTTTGATTCTCTTTGCTTAGGGTTAGGGTTAGGGTTTTTTAAAGAACTTGGAAATAGTCATAGGAAGGTAAAAAAAAAAAGGTCTGATTTAACTAAACATTTCCTTCCGGAATTTGGTAAAAGTGTCCAACTATCGAGGCTAGGTTATAAACACGGATTGTTGGGGGGGAGACGACGGTTTTGCCCTGCGTTGCCTTTTCATCATCGACGAAAATCGACAAGTTCTTGAAATGCTGGAAATGTTTGACATTTTCCGTATCCCCTAGCAATGAATGAGTTGCTAGTAAATCGGATCCTTGTGTTTGCGCACGGTTGTTTTGACTGAAAACAGCACGATTTTGGTGAGAGATCACCGCCTTTTCGCCGCCATTTTATAGAAATGGTTTTTAGGTAGTGTTGATACGAGGGAAGCGTACGTTTTTGTATGATTAACCATGAAATATGTGATAAAATCTGCCGATTGACCTTTCACCTTAAGTAAGGTTAATTGTGTAATTGACATCGCACAATGGTTTGGAAATATCACAAAATTAACTTCAAAACGCCGGGAAATAACTCAATACTGTTAGTAAGTTGTATTTAAGTGTGTACAGCTTGTTTTTCTACTTGTTTACGTTTTGGATAACCAAAAAATACGTCCTCAAAATATATGTCAGTGGAAATGGAACTTATTTTTACAGACCTGTTGCTCTTCAGAGGGATGAAACAAGCGACGAGGAACACGAGAGATCAATAGTTTAAATTCCAGAAAAATCGAAAGGTTTTTGAGCTGCGGCTTTTCACTATTTTCAACTACATAAATAGTCACCATTTTCTCAACAATAAAATTTGCTGCAGCGATTTCTTCGGCTGATCTAACTGACAAATCATGGTAGTTTACTGTAACTGCACAATTCATTCCAATTTTACGCTCAGTGGCCAAAGCATCCAACGGAATCACCTTTAGGAATCTTGTTTATTGAATTAAACAAAGTGCACATAACCGTATTGAGCGGGTATTTTATTGAATTTTTGCCAAATGGTGATTAGAGTCAGGAAATTGATTATTGAGTGCTGAAAAGATGTCTAGATATTGTAATTCTGTAGGAATCACTTTAAGACAACAACAGTTGTGAATGCTGAAACACCGTAATTCGTTTAACAGGCATAAGCTGTACCGCACTTTTCCCAAGAATAAAGATGACGTAAAGTTCTTGGATAACCTTCTCAAATCAGGAGAGGATGGCGTAAGTAATAAGCTACAAAACTAAGGGCGTATCCTTGATCCTTACGTGACGCACGCGCGGTTAGCACACGCACTGAGACAGTTAAATATATGGCGCGCACGATGATCGATAGCAAGCAGCAGTGTTTAGTTGGAGATTCGCGTTTCGGAGATCTATCAATGCGTCTTAGTTTTAACGCGTCACCATTTTGTTAGTGTTTTTAGCCTTGAAACTCTTAACTAAAACAAAATCCTGCAATCCTCCGGATGTCTGTGAAAGGATTAGACGTGATTGAACAAAATTTTTCAAGGATCATTTCTTAAGGATGAAGCCTAACTTGACGATAAAATTGTCTCTCCTCAATCCTCTTTCTAAAGAATTTAATACTTTGGCAATAATAGCAGTTATGAAACTTTCAATCCCTGTTAAAAAATAAAAATAGTTTAGATGAAACTAATTCTCAATTTCAGATTGATTTTTGGACATATCCTTCTGATTCTCTGGACCCTGTTGAAATTCACGTCGAGCCTATTGCAATCCAAAAACTTGAAGGCCTTTTAAATGGTGCTGGTATTTCCTTCCAAGTTTCACAAGAGGATGTGCAACATGCCATAAAAAAAGAACAGGCAACCTCAAGGGCTTCAGGATTTGACAGCAAATATCACAAGCTGAGAGAGGTAAGAAGTACACCCAGAGGGGTGGGAGTAGGTGCTAAATCCCCGTCAAATTTGCGGGGTAACTCGTCGTTTCTGAAGAATTAATTGTTCGAACCGCTTGTGGTTCGAAGATATCGACCCACAATCCCCTACTTATCGCCTGTAGTCCATCCTTTCGGAAGAAATTTCTCTCGCTCTTTAATCTTCCTCTGCTTTAAAATTCAAAGTAGGTATCCAATTATTTTAGCCCAAAATCAGCGCTTCTGCACTGTGGACCACCATATCACGCGGAAAAAAATAGCATAAAGGAAAGGTAAGGTTAAATCTTACCCAAGCGAAACTATTCCGTTGAATGACAAATTTTCTTTCCCGTGACAAAGCTGCTCAGTTTGTACTGTGGTTTAATTTTTTTATGTTTTCCAACTGCTTCTTCGACTTTGCATGCCTTGCGTACCTATGTCTTTTACTCGATAATGTACTTTTTCATTTCATGTAGTTACCGTCATATTGCGTATTAATTAAACCATTTGCACTATTTCATGCTATGCCCATTATTTTTTTCTTTCCTTTCGGTAAGCATTTGGCCAAGCAAATAAGCAATTAAATTAAAGAGCGTTAGTATTTTTGCATAAACTTACTTTACAGATTCACTCTGAGATACGAGCACTGGCCTCGAGACATTCTGATGTGGCAGGAACTTTTAGCTTGGGAAATTCCTATGAGGGCAGAGAGCAACTTGCTATCAAGGTATGGCAAAGAGATAAGAAACTTGCACAGGTCTTTGGTACCGGTGCTCAAAGAAGCTTTATGAATTGGTAGTCTGTTTTTGATTGGAGGCAAAACGCTTGTCAAACTAGGCTTATTTAACAAATTTTATCTACTTACCTCCTCAGTCACAGTGCTTGAACTATCCCTAGAAAGCACAGTAATCACCTGAAAAATCTTGTAATTTATAATAACGTTTCTCATGGTTATTTTGATAGTAATAGTAATAGTTTCTAAAAAACTGTAAAATTTCCAGAAATCACCCTTATTTTCGAAGAATCAAGTAAGCCAGATTTGAAATATAGGGTTTTGTTGGTTTGTCTGTTTTTGTCAATATTGTTTCATCGGTGAAAGCTTCATTCTTGACCATATTTTTGTCCGATTGTCGGCTTGTTTTCAATACCAATTCCATTTCCATTTCTAGATTCTAAAAGGCTCTGCGGCTAGCAAAAAAGGTCTGTTCTTCTTCAACTGTGGAATTCACGCAAGGGAATGGATAAGTCCAGCTACTTGCATGTACATGATACGACAGGTGAACAAAATTTGATAAGTTTTAATGTTTTTCATGTGCTCTAACCTACCAGTAAAGCTGGGCTCACGCTTCCCTAAACTCTACGTGTTAGGACAATTTCTTTTGCATATATGCCGATTTTAATAATATCTGTTGTAATAACTTGGTGTTACTATTGTCTCAGCATATACAAACCTCGTGTAAATCATGTTTAATTTCGCTTTGCACCGGATAAATCTCTATCCGATGGATAGCGCAGGTTGTCTCGTTAACGCTTATCCACAAGATATAAATCCATCCGTTGGATAGCGTTATGCACCCTTTGGGCAAGTGGGCCCAGGAGAAACTTCCTCAGCTAGACGAGGCAGTCTCGTATACAAACTTTACCTTAACCTTTAACATTTATGATTGGAATTATGTCATCCGTTTCCCAGATGTTGGAAACTCGAAACTCCAATGCCGATGTTCGGTTTATGCTCGACAATTACGAGTGGGTAATTCTGCCAGTACTGAATGTAGATGGATATGAGTATACACACACTGGGGTATGTAAAGATAATAATGACACACAACCAATCAAGAAAATTATTTTCTACCACGTGATACAAATCAACCAATCACTTAAAAAAATGATGAAGGAAAAATCAAATCGCCATCTTGGATGCAAAACCACCCATATGGTTGGTTGATTGTGCCACGTGGTACTAAATACTCTTCTTTGATTGGTTGTGAACCATATGAGCCCAATATACTATTCCTACCAAAGTTTAAGGAAAAGTATGCTCCCGACGCCATATAATTTTTCTTCTCCGCAAGCAAACTATTTCCTTTTAACAATTAGATTGTTAGTGATAGATCAGATTGTGGGAAGTACGAGGCGCAGCCGGGAGTGACACAAATGTAATGATGTGAGTGCTTTACATAAATAGTTGTGAGGGACATATCAATGACTTCGTTTGTAACCATGAGGGACGAGCAACACATATTTTGCAAATATTTTCGGCCCTAAGCTTCAAGACCCGGCTAATTTTGACTCAAAAGGTATTTTCCTTTTGCATAGCAAGAAAAGTTTATTCTCAGTCGCTTTATGTTGTAATCATGCGAAAAGAAAATTAAGGAACACTTTTAAAAATTTCCCAATCGTTTGACAATAAAGAGCCTTTTAAACTGGTGATTATTTCCTTCATTTTCATGGCCTTTACGTTTCATTTAAAGGCAGAAGTGGAAGGATAACTTCAAGAGAGGCGCTCCTAGTGGTTAAAGAGCATCAAAAGGATCTGTAATTAAACACTTATTGAAAACCCCTCTGTGACCCTTCCTGCTATTGCTTTAACCTTTTAACTCGTAAGAATGACAGGCATCCAATTTTTCCTCACGGTATCACTATTGAATCAAACATCAGGGTCGCGAGAATAACGAAAACGTATCATCGGAGGTCTTGATTGTTGATATGATTCTTCACGTTAGTCACATAGGGAGTCTACAGAGCACAGTGAGGGGAATATACACGTTGATATCAGCGTGTAAAGGCTTGAATCGAGTACTCCTAAACATTTTTTTTATCTGTCCTTACCCAGAGTATGTGTAAAGTAGACATTTGTTTTGAATCTAATCTATCAGAATCGCATGTGGAGAAAAACGAGACGCCCAAATAAGGATGGGAGTTACGGAGCTGATCCAAACAGAAATTTCAATTATCATTTCGCAGGTAGGACAATTCAACTTTTGGTGATGTCTCAGTGAAACATAAATAGACTCTCAAACCTCTCAAAGATAATAATACAAAGTCAAAACTCTTTAAAATCCTCAACTACCAGCACCCGAATGATAACTTTTTTTTGACAGTTGTCTGCCAAAGTCTGGGTCTTTTTCGGATCAAGCGAATTAAGCTAATTAAGATTGGCCTGGTTTTTTCCGTTTTCATTATGGAACAACTGTTTAGGTTAATTTTCACGATCAACTCTTTTAGCCCGCATATGAAAAAGCGTGAGTAGCAACCGCTGTCATTTTCGCGGGCTTCAGCTGCTGGCCAAGACGCTCCATGGGAACAAACACTGGAGAGTTGCCGCACTGAACTTATCAGTGCGGAGAATACCGATGAAGACTCTTCCCAGGAACTCCTTCAAATATTTGTTGCAGCGAAGGGAGAAAGGTTTACAAGCAGCTCCCTGTTAAAACATTTATTTATATTTTACGAGGATAGATATCATATCTAGTGCGAGGGACAAAGAGGTAATTATTGTGTTCTTACTAACCTTCCGATATTATGAATTATTCAGGAGTTGGAACTTCACAAAGACCAAACAGTGACATATATACTGGAGAGCGACCATTTTCCGAGACAGTGACCTACAATGTTGGGAAATATCTATATGAGCGTAGATACGAGCTGAAGGGATACATTGATTTCCATGCATACAGTCAATTGTGGATGAGTCCGTGGGGATACACCAAAGCGTACCCCCCAGAGTACGCGAGGATGGTATGCAAATGATCAAAATAATGGCACCTAGCATCTCTTTTAAGGCTGCTCCGGTTTACTGTATTTATTAGATTAAACGCCCATCCTGTAGATAGGGAGAGTAAATAAGCACCAATCCCCGCCACTCCCCACTTCCCCCTCCCCCACAAAAAAGGGTAACCAAAGTGCACAAGCGGAGTATTAATCGTTATTTATTTTCTGTCTTATAATCTCTAAATTCACTGTCATGGCCTGTCTTCACATTTTGTTATTATTCATTATAATGTTGCAAAATGAATTTACTCCTTGTTGAACATGATAAAAATTGAATAAGCCCACAGCCTCGAACAAGCGCCGACCTCGAGTGAGTGCTTACCTCAAATATGTGCCCACTCGAAAGGTCAAAAAATTTAACAAGCACCGAGGGCGCTTATCAAATAAAACAGTTTGTTTTAAAATTCATATGAAGAGTAACGTTTATTAGAGAGCAGACTTGTTGTAATTGGGAAATTATGAGAGATCTAGCCTATGCTCAAAATGATTTACTGTAATTGGCAGTCTCACCAGAGACGGAAGTCTTCACGTTGCACTAGTTGCCTCATCGTATATTAACAAAAGCCTACGCCCAATAAAATTCAAAGTTCCTTCCGCGTTTTACATTATCTATACAAGATAGAGTTACTGTAGGGTTGTGTTCGACTATCCAAGATGATTTACCACTGATGCTGTGCCATTTTGTCTTATTTTGTAAAGAAAAAAGCCATGCAAGCTGCTGTCAAGGCACTCACAAATGTGTATGGAACCAGCTACAAATATGGACCGGCTGCCATAACCATTTGTAAGTATGAAGTATTTATTACATGGCGCGGTAACCTCGAGGTAAATCCGAGCGTTCTGATTGGTTCCTTCTTAGTCGGTATTTGCCCATCCGGACCGTTTCCATGGAAACGGTCATGAGCTGTGTCTTTTAGTTCGCTAAAGCCGGAAAATTCAAGATAAACAAGTTTAGTCGGAGCGCCATATGATAAACTTCTTGCTAACCTCGTTTGCTCGATCCGTACTGAAAAGTATTGGCCCTTTTTCGTTTTTGTGCGGCCTTGAGCCAATATTTCCCAGTGCGGCTCTCACACTTGGTTCGTAAGAAGTTATTAGAAGTATTCAGAGACTCAATTAAATGAAACGCTTTTTTATCCTTGAGGAACCCCAGCCACAGATACAGAACAATGTTTCATTGAGCGTGTGAACAAACCCGAGATTATAATGGTTTCGCTCTTCTACGTACCGCGAATGGTCTGGAAAACTCGTGCCACTCTCTTAACTAATCAGATGCGAACTAAATCTAACACCGATCAAAACTTGGTCATTTGCCCTGACTGTTGCCTCGGGAAGTTTACATGTTTTTGAATCTGTTTTTATTTATATTTTCCATAGTTCTGACCGACCGATTTGACTGCTTCGGCTTTGATGTCACGAAACTCAATTAAAAAGAGCTCAATTAAGTGGGTATCGTCATAAGTGATGTTTTCAAATGAGTGAGTGAAAACCAAAACCGAAGTTATCATAACTGATAATCAGAAAAAAAACCTTAACATCGTCAGTCTCCAATAAGACTCAAAGTAAAGGCAGGCAACTTGTTTGAAGCTCAGGAAAACGTGAATGACCGAGGCGCGATTGTTTTTTAGTTTTGCATCCAATTGGTTGCATTAGGGGATCGCGCGAGTCTCCTTGACCAATCACAGGGCAAAGTTGAGCATATTTTGTGCGGATTATTTTCGATACTCAGTTGAAAAATTGCTCTGAGACATCACTGGTTTTATTTCGTTCCCAGATCCCACCACTGGTGACACAACTGACTGGACATTTGGTGTCTTAGGAGTGGTACATTCCTACTGTGTAGAACTCCGCCCAAAAACTTACGGTCAAGGGGGATTTATACTTCCCCCGGATAAGATTATCCCCGTGGGGCAGGAAACATTTGCAGGTTTAAAGGCCCTGACGAGAAATATGTAAACAAGAACAAGTGTTAAATGAGGGAATTTTTCCTGCTGTGAGTTTCGTCTTTAAATTTCCTAAAAAGTTTAATGGTGAATAAACTACAGATCAAGAGAAAAGTTTAAATTGTTTGAGACTTGAAACATTAACCTGACTTCAAGTTTATATATCCATACGTTTAGTTTGCAAAACATACCACTATAGTAGCGGCTGAACGAAAAAACAATTGGGTTTTATATCACGCAATTCGTTTATTTGGGCCCCGTTTTACCACCTGAGCACACGGGACAGGCTACAAGTTTATTAGTGTTTTCTCCTTCACATCCTTTCAAAATAAACAAGCAAAAGATTTACAAAGTAGTTTTCCAAAACAACCATGTCAAGACATTGCCCTACGTAGCCACTTTGAATTATCACTTATGAATGAAAGATGTTAACATTGATTCCTTTAAGAAATACATGCTTTGGAGCTAAGCCTTGAGAGAGGAATCTATACCCTTAAGAATATTTAGACATGCAACTTGGGATTTGTGAGAGATGTGATTGCTTATTTGTCCACGCTCTAAATTTCGCTGGTTCGAAATAATCCAGGTGTACATATATGCTAGCTTTTAATCTCCTAGCAGGAACGTTCCCGCACGAGTTTTTCTTCGACATGAGAAAGTATGAGGCCTTGACGATGATAGTTATCAGTGCCAGACCCTAAGCAAACCTCTTCCCAACTTGTCTCAAATCTTCCCGCGGGCGGAGAGACGCGCGCCCTGCAGCACTAGTGATTAGGGCCTATTCGCAAGTTCTTTTGAGAAGCCACAGCGAAGGCTTTATCCTAGGCGTTACAAAAATTTAACTGAACGTGTCAAACGCTAACTGTGTCTGATCCAGCTATTTCAGGAATAATATCGCGTCAAAACTGATCTTGAATTTCCTGAACTAGGTTGGAAACATACAGAAGAGTAAACTCTGTAGACTTACAGTCACATTTGATAGAGACACAGTGATCTTGTTCGGTTCGTTGTCACAAATCAGTATGTTAATCAAAACTGGATTCCGACATCTTCCTATGGCGTCCAGTAAAATGAAAACGTCGTTTGAGTCTCTTAGTGATTCGATATAGACAAATTCGTCGCCCTCTTGCGAAATCCATTTAAGTAATTCCATGAAGTGCGTTAGTCCCTGCTGAAGCTGCTTCTGTTGTTTTGGATCTTTTTGGTTAAGGATGATTTCCTTGGACGAATCTTCCGCTGTACAGCTATCTTTTAGATAAATCATTTCATAATTATCTTTCCAGGCCTCCTCTTCCCTTTTGCTGTTCTAAAATTAATAAGGAAAAAAGAAATCAATTAGGCAAAGTCAAAATTATATCAGGATGGCGTTGACATAACTGCAAGTGTTAGCTCGGTTTAATAAACACACTGTTCAGAGGCGGATCTAGGGAGG